AATCATTCGATTCGTAATGATGGGGAGTGGTAATTAGATTTTGGCGAAGGCAGGTCCAGCCGTTTTGTATATGTAGCTAAATGTATGAAAAATGACAGTTTTTGAGAGATCTAAGCATCCGATTTGAATGATTTAAAAAAAAAAATCTGCTTGTGTTCATGAAACAATTGCTTTTGGGGAATGAATTTTTTTCTATTTCAATTTATTTTAATTTCCAAAAAATTTGTTTTTCATTGAAAAATAATTCGGATTTTGATTCTAATTCCACCTAAAGTTCTAAACATCACTTATATACTTCAAATAAATAATTTTAAATTTGCAATTCAGTTTATGTAATACTTAGAAATATTAGACAATGTTCTTCATTTTAAATCCGATTGATTAAGTTTTGTTTATTTACTTTTCATAAAATAAGAATAATGAAACTTACATTATTTATAATAATCTATTTAAAAATATTTCATATTCCTCAAACATTCAAGTAAGGTACGGAAAGTTCGAGCAATTTGCCCTAAGGCACGATGCCATACACCACTAGATGAAATCTATGTTTGACTTAGATATACAATATACTAGAATTATTTGAAGAATTATATTCACATATGTAACTATGTAAAAATTTATAAATTAAGGATTAATACAGATAAATAAGTAGCTATAATAAATTTAAAGAATGTATTTTTATGCAGATATTTTTATTTAGATTTTATTTTACAAACGATTATATAAACAACCTGCTGTGTTCAACATGTTTCGAATTATTTACTAATAAAATAATTTAACTATTCAGCAATTAGTCTATCAACATTATTACCTTACTATCCAAATAAATAAATTGAACTAATCAATCAATGAATTGAATAAATCAATTATTATCAATCAATTATTCTTGTTGCAGGTATTTATGAATTCTTTTAAAATTTCATAAGTTTGTTTTCTGACTGCAATTACTTCGTGATGTGTGTAATTTAAACATTTCCTCATTGGTATACAAATATCGAATTCAGGCTGAGGATGAAGTCTGCAAATTTCTTCACTCGTTAAAGTTTCATAGCTGAATCTCTGTTTAGAAACGACTGATAAATTAGTCAAATCTTCATAATCATCATAATCTAGGATCAAGGAATATTTCATGCTATCTGTGTGATGTTTAGTTTCAATATTTATTTTTAATATTGAACCATTTTCTGTGGCTTTGAGTACACCTACGATATCTTGGGGCTGATCTGTATTCTGTAGTACCAAGAATTTGGCACGCCTCTCTTCTTCCTTATTAGTTGTGAATGATTCTAGTTCTTCAATTGATCGGCACGAAAAACCATGAATTAAATTTGCAGAAAATTTAGTTGCATTTTGTATAATATTATTTAAAATTTCATTATCTGCTTTATTGATAACAGCGGCATTTTCAGTCAAATTTTTACTCCATGAATAAACCTTAGCAGATACAAGATTGTTCTGCAAATTCATTGAGTTGATTTTTTCATGAAGGGCTTTTAAAGCCAGTGCTTTTAAGTGAACTGTGGGTGAATTATTTACAACATTAAAAGCTTTGCTATAAATATAATGTTTGAATACTTTAGGAATAATTTCTTGAACGGTTTCTGCTGCTGTTTCACTATCTATCTCATTAAGAAGTACAAGAGGCTCAGAATAATTATATGCGGATTTTTCGACTAATTTTTCCAGGTTACATTTGGCGTAGGTTGATGTTTCTTCTGTCACATTTTGGATGATAATTTCTTTCATTGATGGTACAAGTTGTTTTCCAAAATGTATGTTAGTATCATTTAACAAATTAATAATTGCTTCGTGCATTTCATTAATTGTGTTGGTATTATTTTTTATAAGTTGTGTGACTTTAATAACTATATCAAAATTTTTTGCAAATGAGTAAATTTGTGTAATAAAATATTGCCTTATTTGCTTACTACCAAAATTCTCAAATAATTCTTTCACTGCATTAGTATCATCGGGAAAACCTAAAGGCGGAATATCGAGAATTTTTGTAATATCAATTATGAAATCATAAAGTTCACCCATGCCATCAGTGTTTTCGTGTCCACAAGTTCTATTATAATATTTGTAATGTTCTTCAATGAAATACACTAATTTCGATATTTGTTCATGGCTTGCTTTATCTACAAGTGGTGACTTCATTTTATACACGGTTTTGTAGAAATCTGATATAGGTTGTATGATTTCTTGTTTATTATTACACAAATGAGGTTCTTCAGTGGCGTAACATACCCCGAGAAAAGTTATTATTAATAGTCGCAGCATTTTTGAAATCTGTAAAATATTAAAAAAAATATTTACGGGGTACAAAATGTTTTTTCATAACATCCAAGTATATAGCACACATCAATTTTGTATAATAATATATCAGCAAAAAGATAAAACGAAATTATGTACACAAAAATTTTATTCATATTTGTTTATAATGTACGTAATAAATGTGGACTATTTAATTAGGTGAAATGATAAAGGTAATGTGATTAATTTATGATATAGTAAGATCAATGAAAATACAGTGTTTTAATGAAATTATTAAACTTTTATTAATTAATTTAGTTATTCATAATTTTTTTTGCAATCATCGTTATCTTTATGACTTTATATGATTTAAATACATTTTTAACTTCCCGTAGGGTACGTTATTGTAATCGTCCAAAAATCGAAATTGAAAATGTTTACATTTCTTCACGTTTTGAAGGTTTCTGAACATTTTGGCACACCTCAGAAAAAATGGATGTGTGTGTACGTGTGTGGGTATGTATGTATGGATACAATTTTTCGTCCACGTTTTCAGGCGCGCGAATCAACCGATTTGAATAGTTCAAAAAACATTCGATTCCTATTGATAGAGAGATGTGCTGATTAGTTTTTGGCAAAGTGGGCAGAAAATAGAAATCGAGTTTTTGAGAGAACGGATCATCCGATTTGAATGATCTAAATAACATTCAATTCGTAATGATGGCGAGGAGTGGTAATTAGATTTTGGCAAAGACAATTCCAGCCGTTTCTGGGATACCGAGCTAAATGTGCTAAAAGAGCAGTTTTTGAGAGGACTAAGCATCTGATTTGAATTATTCTAAAAACTTTCTGTTTGTTTTGACAAAATAATTGCTTTTAGAAAAAAAAATATTTCAAATTTTTTTTTCAAATTTTTTTTTTTTCAAAAATTTTTTTTTGTATATCGAAAATAATTCGGATTTTAATTTTAATTCTGGCTGAAGTTCTAAAGCTCGCTTATATACATTAAATAAATAATTTTAACATTATAATTCAATTTATATAACTCTTATAAATATTTGACAATTATACAGAACTCATAATAATCTATTCGAAAACATGTAATATTTTTTGAACATATTTCGTTATGCTACGGGAAGTTCCAACAATTTGCCTTAAGGCACGATGCCATACACAATTAGTTTTATTTAATTAGTAAATAACTTTGTATTATTGTCATTGTGTCTTGCATTAATCTATTACTTCATTATTGCCTTATACAAGTTTTTTAAAAACTATTTCTGATTTGGCACGTTTTTATATTAAACTCATTGCATTTAGTCTAACTTTTTTAAGTGGCCACTTATACAATGTTAATTCATATAATGTTGGTGCTTATTTCTATGTTAAATACATTAATTTGATATTTAAATTTTTGTACCTTTTTTCACGAATCTGCTTTATTAATGCACGAATTTCACAATTAAAAAATATGCTTTTAATTCTGTTCTCTAATATACAATAACCCACAACTTCAGAAACGCATTGCAATTATTTTATCAGAGTGATGATTAACATTATACAATTGACCTTTTATAAGATTAAACGTCAGCAACAAAAAAAAAATATAAACAGTACTTAGAATTAAAAATATTGCAATTATCATTGGATAACATATTTTATTAAAATTGACTTTGACGCATCATCATAATATGCATTTTGGAAATTAAAAACAAGGTATTAATTGTCCTATTTTTTTAATTTTATTAGTTCAGAAATATCTTTATCATAAGATAAAAATAACATTAATAATAAGATAAAAATTGAAAAATAGGTGTCCATGTGAAGATTCATTTTGCAAATGCAGTGCAGTTTCTTCGCCATATTGTTGTTTTGAAACAGATTTTTTTTGTATTTTTTGACTATACATTGCTAAACACAGAATGTATTTTTTATTTTAAGTTTCGTAATTATTCTAGCAAGTTTAAACCGCAATTTTAATTTTATTTTAACTCAATAACAAATATTTACAGATTATTTAACTTTAAACAATTTAGTTTAATACAATTAAAGCAAACGTACCTTATGTTATTCTATGGTATGTAGAATTTTCTTTAGATCACTATATTATTATGCTTAAACTTTATTACTCTGAATATTATTTATTTAACTAACTTTATTAATTTATGTGAACTAACACCATTCGTTCATATCAAAATAAATATGGCATTTACACTTATAAACATCTTTCCATTCGTATTATGTAACACTTGACCTTCTAAGTACATTGGCGTGGTCAAGATCATAGTGATTGTGTATTTCAATTTGCTACGAAATTATTTTTTTATTATAATTGTGTATAAGTTTATAAGATACAAAAGATTTAATGAAAATGATGTTTCAAATGTATTCACTTATAGTTCACACGTTCATACGTTTCATTTAGTTGTATGACTTTATTTTGAGAATCAAATTTTGATATTACACTAATAATTTAACTAAAATAAGAATAGAATACATTTAAAAAAACATACTAAAATTTATTTCAAATCTAATTGTTTTTCCAACATGTCAAAATAGTGTACGATGTCTCTTTACGGCTGACAATTGTAAATTCTGCAAATGTACTAAATGTCCTTAACTGGACAGTTGCAAATAAAATAGAGAATAAAAAAAAATATGCGCAACTCATTTATTCCATAATTGTAAATTTTTTATTAATACATTTATTGAACAAAATTATGCTTGTCAAATAAATAGTGTTGAAATATATATATACACTCACATTAATATTACTTTAATTTAGTCAAGATTACAAGATTCAATCGTATTTTTCAATTTTTTATATCCTTCCTTTCTTTCAGCAATACCTTTATCGTATGGATAAGATAAAAATTGGTACATCGAAATACATGTGTAATATTCAGGTGTCGGATTCATTTTGCAAATGTCTTTGAAAGGAAGTTCTACGTCATCTATTACTTGTTTTGAAACAATAGTTCCTGGTAGACTGATATTTTCTGGATAGTCATCATTTTCTAATATAACTGAATACTTTCTATTTTTCAACTCGAACAAAATTTCCACATTGATCATCAATAATTTTCCGTTTTCTTTAGCTGTGAATGTACGATCTATGTTCGTTGAAATTTCTGTATCTTGAAATACAAAATGACCATTATGTGCTGCAGCAACAACGTCTTCTTCTGATATATAGGCTTCTACTTCTTCTAATGTGCGACAAGAATAACCTTTAATTAATTTTTTGTTAAATTTTGTTTGATTTTTTAAAATACTGTTAAAAATTTCAGTAATTTCAATATCCTCATTACTCTGTTCACTTCTTTTGATAATATCAGCCAAAACATAAAGCTTTGCTGCTACAAGACTATTTTGCAAATTTAAAGAGTTAATTTTTTCGTGCAGAGCTTTTAATCCCACAGCTTTCAATCGAAGTGTAGGTGCTTCAGCAATAATGTCATATGACTTGCAGTAAATATTATTAGTGAATACATGTTTAACAATATCTTGAATTGTTTCCTCTGCTAATCTGCTATCAAACTCGTTTAATACAGAAAGTGCATCAGAATAACGATGAGCTGTTCTTTCAACTAACTTTTGTAAATTCAGTTTAGCATTCTTGAATACTTCTTTATCAGCATTATCTACGTTTTTAGTCAAGTGTTCTTTCAAAACTGGTACAAGCAATTTACCATAATCGATATTTGTGTCATTCAATGTATAAACGATGCCCGCATGCATTTTATTGACAACTTTCATATCGTTCATTAGCTCTGTGACTTCTATGATTTCATCAAGCCATCCCATCAAAAATTCTATTTGAGTTATAAAAAAATGCAGTATGTGTCGGCAATGTATGCTTTCAAATAAATCTTTCGCTTTGTTCAAGTCTTTGGATTCAAGGTTCAACATTATATCATAAATCTTTTCAATATCGTTGCCAAAGCTTTTGACTGTCTCCATGCCCACAATTTTCTCGTCTCCACAAGTGGCATTGACGTGATTATAATGATTGCCTACTTGGTTAATTATTGCTCGAATTTCTTCTAATTTTTTCTCTTTATTGCTATGTGGTGATTGCATTTTATCCACAAGATTATAGAAATCTGTCATGGGTTGACGAATTTCTTCTAAGGTACATGGTGAGCTTAAGGGTGCAGCACTGCACGCACCCAAAAATGCTAGTATAAGTAGTCGATACATACTTAATCTGAAAATATTAGAATAACTAATATTCAACGACATTTGTCATATAAAATTTTCTAAAATAGTATTGGTTACAAATTCGTTATTATGAAAAATTTAAATTTTAGTCTTTAACAGAATTTCGATAAGAAAACAATAAGAAAATTTTAACTTTTATAGTCAATAATAGATGATGAAATCAATTAGTAATATCAAACACTCGGCCTAATAGATGTTTTTAAATTTACATTCTCCTAATAGTACCTAAGTATATGAAACACTATTTATTTTAAGAAAATATTTTAATATCTCTCACACATATATACACATCACGCATCTCATATATATATATATATATATATATATATATATATATATATATATATTGCTTCCAAATATCTTGTCATTAAAAAAACTCATAATTAAAAATCAGTTAACTTAAAATGATTTCTATTAATACAATCAAAGCAAACATACCTCCTGTTTTTATATGTAAATTTTCTTTTAAATCACTTTTAAATAATGCCGAAACTTTTTTACTTGAATTTCTTTATATAAACTAACACGTTCGTTCATATCAAAAACAGTTTGATGATTGCTTTCATAAAATATCTCCATTTCAATTATATCACACTTGACCTTTTAATTATATTGACGTGGCCAAGATCATACTGATTGTTTCATGTTGTAAACTGTAGACAAATTTTTCTTAATAATTATGTGTAAGTGTAATAGATACAAACGTTTTAACGCTTTTTATACTTGTAATGTCTTTTTCCAATAATATCATGTACAGCTTTTCTTTTGTTCAACATCTTCATAAGGTTGAATTTTTATTTTTTAATATAATAGAAATCAATATTTCGGAATCAGAAATGTTTCGTTGATTTTTGAAAATCTTCAGCGATAAAATAAACTATTATTCTAATATTTTATCTAATTAAAGTATTTTTTTATATTTTATTACCAAATATGATCAATTTTTGTTAACCTATATATCATAATAATTTCTAGTATATATTATTATAGTTTATAGTATACTATGATTGTATAGAATCATGTTAGCAAGCAAGTTATAAAACATATGAGAGTTAATACCTTAGACATTTATAAAAAAATCATTTAAAATTTTTAATGCAGTAAATTTATATACATTTGTACTGAAAATGTATTATGGTCTATATTATTTCTCAGATAAATTGTTCTTACCATCATTTTTGTAATGTAGTTTAAAACACCATTATAAAATTATTTTGTATATTCTTGCAACGCAATAAATATAATAGTATTATAAAATAGTTTTTTCGTTATTGGAACTCGGTAAAAAATATTGGAATTATATTGAATTTGGTAAATATTCATGTAAAAAATTACAATTTACAGTTCAATCTTATCAAGACTTCCTCCTTCTTATATTGCTCGGAATATTATTCACGTACATTAACCTGCAATAATCTTTAAAGCACTTTGTGCCATTTGTAGTACCTATAGCATTGCACTCATTTATTATTGATATCTTATGTCATTATTGAATCATTAAATGAAATAAAATGTCTATATTATATATTTCTAATTATGTATAATAAATTATACTAAAATATTATATAGTTGCTTATTCTTTATGACAAGATTTAATTGTTTCCTTGAATTTTTTATAGCCTTCTTTTCGTTCAGCAATAGTTTTGTCATAAGAGTAAGATAAGAATGGATACATGGGGATACATGCATAATATTCAGGAGTAGGATTCATTTTGCAAATTTCTGCGAATGGAAGTTCTTCTTCATGTATTACTTGTTTTGATACAATTGTGCCTGGGAAATTGATATTTTCTGGATACACCTCGTTTTCTAGTATAACTGAGTACTTTCCATGTTTTGACTCGTGCATTATTTCCACATTTACCATCAATAATGTTGCATTATCGTTGATTCCACTAGGTCTGAATACACGATCTATATTTACATAGTCTGTGTTTTCAAATACATAATGCCCATTATGTTCTACAGTAGCAACATCTTCTCCAGTGATATGGGCTTCTATTTCTTCTAAAGAGCGGCATGCAAATCCTGTCAATAAATTATCGGTAAATTTGGTTGTTTTGTTCAAAATATCCCCAAAAGTTTCTGAAATATTGCTATTATTATCGATTTGTTTTTTCATTTCTTCATCATCTTTAATAGTATCAGCCACAACATAGAGCTTCGCCGCTACAAGACTATTTTGCAAGTCCATAGAGTTAATTTTTTCGTGCAGAGCTTTTAATCCTACAGATTTCAAAGCAAGTGTAGGAGCTTCAGTAATAATGTCGTATGACTTGCTGTAAATATTATTAGTGAATACATGTTTAACAATATCGTGAATTGTTTTCTCTGCTAACACGCTGTCAAACTCATTTAATACAGAAACAGCATCAGCATATCGATGAGCCGTCCTTTCTACTAATTTTTGCAAATTCAGTTTTGCATTTTCGAATACCTCTTTATCAGCATTGTCTACGTTCTTAGTCAGGTGTTCTTTCAAAACTGGCACAGCAAGCAATTTTCCATAATGAAATTTGTATCATTCAACGTATAAATGATACCCGCATGCATTTTATGACAATGTTCATATCGTCCATTAGCTTCGTGACTTCTATGATTTTATCAAGCCTTTTCACCAAAAATTCTATTTGAGTTATAAATAATGCAGTATGTGCCTGCATGTATGCTTTCAAAACAAATCTTTAGCTTTGTTCAAGTCATTAGATGCGAGATTTTCCATTATGTCATAATCTTTTCAATAGTATCGCCAAAGCTTTTGATTTTTTCCAGGACGACAACTTTCTCGTCTCCCCATGTTGTGTTGACGTTATAATAATGATTGATGAATGATCAATCAATGACCGAATTTCTTCTAATTTTATATCTTTATTGCTGTGTGGCGATTGCATTTCATCACGAGATTATAAAAGTCTGTCATGGGTGACGAATTTCTTCTAA